TGTTTTCAGATACTTGGGAGTTGACGTGTCGGCGGATGGATTTATGAAGGATGAGGTTAATCATAGAATTGATGAGGGAAAAAAGGTGAGTCGTGCGTTGAGGTATATGTGAAGTCAAAAAACGTTATCTATGGAGGCAAAGAAGGGAATGTATGAAAGTATAGTAGTACCAACACTCTTATACGGGTGTGAAGCTTGGGTGGTAAATGCAGCAGCGAGGAGACGGGTGGAGGCAGTGGAGATGTCCTGTTTAAGGGCAATATGTGGTGTAAATATTATGCAGAAAATTCGGAGTGTGGAAATTAGGAAAAGGTGTGGAGTTAATAAAAGTATTAGTCAGAGGGCAGAAGAGGGGTTGTTGAGGTGGTTTGGTCATTTAGAGAGAATGGATCAAAGTAGAATGACATGGAAAGCATATAAATCTATAGGGGAAGGAAGGCGGGGTAGGGGTCATCCTCGAAAGGGTTGGAGAGAGGGGGTAAAGGAGGTTTTGTGGGTGAGGGGCTTGGACTTCCAGCAAGCGTGCGTGAGTGTGTTAGATAGGAGTGAATGGAGACGAATGGTACTTGGGACCTGACGATCTGTTGGAGTGTGAGCAGGGTAATATTTAGTGAAGGGATTCAGGGAAACCGGTTATTTTCATATAGTCGGACTTAAGTCCTGGAAATGGGAAGTACAATGCCTGCACTTTAAAGGAGGGGTTTGGGATATTGGCAGTTTGGAGGGATATGTTGTGTATCTTTATACGTATATGCTTCTAAACTGTTGTATTCTGAGCACCTCTGCAAAAACAGTGATAATGTGTGAGTGTGGTGAAAGTGTTGAATGATGATGAAAGTATTTTCTTTTTTGGGATTTTCTTTCTTTTCTGGGTCACCCTGCCTCAGTGGGAGACGGCCGACTTGTTGGAAAAAAAAAAAAAAAAAAAAATATATACATACACAAACACTTACCATCCGACTTACGACCGTGTTTTTTATGCCAAATTTCTGGGAAATAAACAAGTGTTTGTGTTGTACACAGTGTTTATCCTAAACCTTACAGTATAAAATACGGTACTAACAGCATAGTAAAGTAAAACATGAAATACCAAAATAAAACAATAAAATAAAGTCATTACAAAAATGTTATGTTGATATTCAGTAGTAAAGTTCGACTTACGTCCATTTCAACTTACGACCGGTTTCTCGGAACCGAACTCGGTCATAAGTCGGATGGTAGGTGTATATATACATATACATGTATATATATATATATATATATATATACAGTAGGGCCCCACTTATACGGCGGGTTAGGTTCCAGGCTGTCGCCGGAAAGCAGACATCGCGGAAGGCAGAACGCCATTTTTTTCCATTTATAAATGCATATAAATGCCAGACAACAAGTTTACACTAAATTATATTAAGTTAGTAATAGAACCAGGCATTAAAAACACACAAAGTAAAATACAGTCACAGTAAATTCATTACTTATCTTAAAGTATTTGTAATCTTAATGTAGGGAGAGAGGTGAGTAGTACTTATTTGTAGGAAGTCAGGTGCAGGTAGCCCAGGTGTAGGTAGCACTGGCTCCCCATCTCATACTTAATATACGATATTTAAAACATCCCAGAGAGGTAAAATACACATACAGTACACTCATTATTTACCTTAAAATATGTGTAGTCAGTCTTAATATAGGAAGAGAGGCGAGTAGTATTTATTTGTAGGAAGTCAGTGTAGGTAGCCGGTAGGTGTAGCCCAGGTGGGCTACCTACACTGTGGCCCAGAGCCATATTATCATCATCGACATACAGTGGAACCTCAAAAATCAGTTTTGCTAACTGAAATAAGAACTTAGAAACATTTACACCTCCCCCCACACACATACATACACACGCAGGTTGACTGGGGGGCTGGATTTGAGCCTTGGCATTGAAGGCAAGCTGGCCCACTCTTTACGCATATTGTTCAGTGTTATTTAACTTTATCTAGGACTGTAATAATGTAACGTTACATTCTATTTGCGAATTTTAAAAAATTTGTTCTATACAGCCTCTCCTCACTTAACAACAGTTCCATTTCTAAGACCATGTCAGTAAACGAATTCGTCGTTAAGTGAGGAACATATTATAATGGTAGTGGGTTTGTGTTAACCATCTTTGATATTGTTTTAATGTCACCTTTCCACCATTTATAATATTTCTGGTATGTTTTAAATGTTTATACACTAGTGTAATGCATATTAAACAGAATAGAGGAAATCATCTCTAATATACATTATTTAGGTATGCATACTGGTCAAAGAGCCTGTCGTAAGTCCAAGGCATCGGTAAACAAGTACGTCACTAAGTGAGGAGAGGCTGTACTTAAAAACATACTCATCAGTCTGTTCAATTTAATTTATATACATGTATATTTGGCTTGTCAGTTGCCATGATGACTGACAGTCTCATTTATCAATTATCAATATGAATAATGACACATTATCAGTTACTAATTAATTTTATACATAATTGAATGCTTGTTGCACAAAGGTTTTCTTGAACATTTATAATATGAAAATTTTAGATGAACTGACTTTAAAATTAGACATTTACTTTACACGTTTTCATGAATTTTTACAATACCTATAAAAATTTTGTTTCGTATAGGAATGAAAAACACGTAATATGTACCTGCAAGTTGCAAAAATGCATGAAGGTTCCCTATTCTGATTGAACAATTACAATTTAAAAATAGAAACTTAAATTTTACCTTCTCAGTGGTTCACTAGTGTTGGCAATTTTGTCGATAGTTGAGTCAAGACTCATAAGAATCTTACTAGCCTCCAAGTTTACCTTGGAGGCTAGTAGGTTCCTGATTAGTGGATAGAGAGAGAGTTGGGTTAGGAGTTGCTTGATTGAATAGGGTACTTTCAGGGTTGGTTTTACTGTTGGCATTAACTGATAAATTGGTTAAAATAAGTGAAAATATGATTAAATTAGTATATTTTAGCAGTTTTAAGTTGGTTTTGATGATTCTATAGTTCTTAAAAGGATTAAACTTGATAAAAGCTATATCGCTTATATAATCACTCAATTAGACATAACCTTGTTAATCTTAAGATAGCCTGAAATGCTGTGCATATTAAGGGGCTTTCTGCATGCACACCTAAATGTCATTCACATTTGTATAAACATTGTATCATGCTGAAATAAAGAATCTTAATCATAATGGTTGAATTGGGAATTCCTCTGTCCTGTTGGTTAGTCTGGAAACATGCTAGAATTGGTTTTCTCAGCAGAATTGACCTAAAATGGGGGTCACATGGGTTCACCCCCTCCCCTGAAATATGCCTGGTTTAACTAATTCGTCAACAACTACTGGGGATGCCTAATATGCTCGAGAATGGTCTTCTAGACGAGGAATAAGGAAAAGTGTTGATCTTAGCGGAGTGAAGATGTATTCACAATGGATAGCAACTTTAACACGGCAAAAGTCCAGGAACGTCAATAAAGGAGAAAGGCAAGGTCGTTTCATTAACTGGAATGTCTTGGTGTTTTTGCAACTCTTGTTTGAAAAAGCAGATTGTTGAATTAAGTTTAAGATTAGCTGAAGGACCAAATTTTGGACTAATTAACAGGTTAGTGTTTGGATTAAAATTATTATTTCTTGCTATCAGTTTAGCACTCAAACCACACTGGTGAAATAGACTAGTTTTCGGTCTATTTGATGACTGAAATAGGCTAGAAATAGCCCTAAATATGAGTGTCCTTGCTGAATTACCCCAGCAGTTAACCCTCCAAGAAGCTATTACTACGTCTATATAGGACTCGGCTGACCTTCAAATCGACCTTAATAAATAACCACTAATGCCGAAATCACAGTTGCAAGGTGACAGAACTCATAAATCGAGCATGAATAGCCACTGCTGCTAACAGGAAGCAAGAATCCTTGCTTTTGTGCCTTTCTGGTTGCCGGAAAGTGACCCTTAAGATGTTCAGGAATAAGGTGGGAATCTGCTTGGCTGACAGTGGTAACAGAGGTGCATCCCACAATTCCCTTGGTAGGTAAAAATATGTATGCTCAACTTGTGTGATATTTTATTGTAGCAATGTTTCTCTCTCCAGGGATACAGAAATACATATAAGTAATAACATGAGATAAAAAATCATTGGCACTGAAAAACTCTAAATGGCCCACGCAAATGGTTGTAGTAGTAACAGTATAGTAGTAGTAATAGCCGTAGCAGTAGTACCAGTAGAAGTAAAAGTAGTAGTAATAATAACAGTAGTAGTAGTAGTGGATGTAACTCTGGGTTGCTATGTGATGGTGGGATCATTGTTTTGACGATAACTCTCGCTAATACTTCAGAGATAATTAAACTGCCTCTTTTCTGTTTAACAGTGTCTGAAATGACGATTAAGGATCCTTTTTCCTTACATATACCTTCTCTCTCCCTGTATTGTTTGCAATAAAGCTCCTGGAGAGCGAGACATTGCTACAATAAAATGTCATAATAGTTGCATTTGTGTTCATTTACCTAACATCAAAATTATATTTCACCTGATTAGGTATGACTGATGTATGATAGTAACACTTCCCTTACAATTCATTTTATTGGTTTTATAATCTTTGATGTGATATCCAAACAGAGGATTAAAGAATATTTTCACAAATGAATTAGTGCTGCTTCTAACGATGGTGATTGGTTGAAAAAATTAATTGCCAGTACTTTGTGTATGCAAATAAAAGTAGATTTGTGATTGTAGATATAAATTAACAAAAAAAGGCACAATACCATGACTGGAACAATACACAAATAACCCGCCCATTAAAGAGAGGAGCTTATGGCAACATTTCGGTCCAACTTAGACCATTTACAAAGTCACACTTTAGTTCAAGTCGGATCGAAACGTCGTCATAAGCTCCTCTCTTCTATGTGCGGGTTATTCGTGTATTGTCCCAGTCATGGTATTGTGCCTTTTTTTGTTAATTTATATCTACAATCACAAATCTACTTTTATTTGCATACACAAAGTACTGGCAATTAATTTTTTCAACCAATCACCATCGTTACAAGCAGCACTAATTCATTTGTGAAAATAGTCTTTAATCCTCTGTTCGCTACATCTGTGCTGCTTGATATTATTTCTGACCAGGAGAGGAATTTTTTTCCACAACTGTACAATATATTTAATTATATAATGTTGGTAATGTCTTACTGTGTGTAATTTATCAATTAAATTTTATGATAGGGATGGATGTAAATGATAAACGACTTACATATAAGGTTTGCTACTATCCGCAGTAGGTCTTGGAATGTACCACCCGTGGATACTGGGGGATTACTGCATTCCTCTTTTATACTGCACAATATTTTGCTCTGGTGCTGTTATACTAAAATTATCAAGTGAGCAGTCCTACAAGACTATATATCAATTATACACGAGACTAAAATAACATTAAATAATAACAGGAATGAAAATATTTCAATGTAGGAAAAGGAAAAATTTAATACAGTAGTATAATAATAGGGTCAAAACTAATATTTATTGTTGGTAAAATAATACTTACTTTACTTCCATGGTAGTATTTCAGCTCACAAAAGCTTCTGTAATTTAAATTTTAACCATCGTACAGCAAACAGTACAAAAGCAACCAAAAATCTTCTGTGTGACTATTTTCTCCTTATTGTTTACAAACATCTTAACTGATGAAGAGTATACTGTCTAGGGCAATCTTACACCAGTGCAGGTTAAATATAGCATTATTAATATTACTTCCACTATACATCTATACAGTGCAACTACTACTTTGGGATGCAAATTTAAAAGCTAAATGCATTATATGTACATACAACACCTAATACTGGGTAATTTATTTGTGATTAATTATGTACTCTAGAAAAATACTTCATAAGAATAGTAAAAAAAAAAAAAGGCAAGAAAATGAAGTGTCATGCATTCATGCAAATGAACCATTATTGTGCAAAGCTTCATATATTCAGCTCAATAAGAACTCATGCCTAAACTGTAGTAATCTATTCTAATTCATAAAAGTCACTCGATAATACTGCATTAGGAAATGCTCCAGTAACAACACTTGCAGGCCTTAATTCAGAACATTTGATGTACATACTGTACTTAATTTCGTTAATAATACTGTATATCTAGACTATATTTGTTTACATTATTAAGCATAATTTTTCAAAACTATTTTTTTAACTAATTATGTTATAGAATTTAGGCCAAAGCATTTGTGAAATCATACTTTCTAAAAAATTGGCAATATACATTTATCAAATATTTATTCAACTGAGGATCTTTTTTATTCCATAGAATGGGAAATGTAATATCAGTTAACTTGGCTTTCTCTAGCATAATCTCTATCTCAAATTCTCTTAGACACTTTATGATGCCCATGAATGTTATTTATTAACTAAAGGGCCTATTACTGTTTCTGTTTATCTACATAATTAATTTTTTATATAGTATAAGCATTTTCATAATGCCATGTTAAGTGTCTCAAGAGAATGTAAGGCAGACTGGATGAAGCAGTCATACACCATCAAAAGCAAAGGTTCTCTGAGATTCTAAACAAACTAAAGCTTCACAAGTTAGCTATTGCTATAAGACAGCAATATGTGATTCATGAAGCATGATGAAATCAGCTAGCTTTGATCCAGAAAAACTTACAGCTCTTAACCAGTTTCCTCGTGAAAAGTAAAATATTGCAATGTTAGATATTGTTAAAATCCTTGGGAAAGACATTACCAATCACACATGCATGTCAGTCTTTTTCCTTAAATGTGTTTAGCAACAAATTATATATACAGTATAATGAAATTACTACAGAAGACTCTAAAATACAAGAGTATAATTATGCAATACACCAATGCACTGATATTCAGAAATCCAGTCAGACAGTATCTTGACAATCTATGCCATTAGGTCTTACACATGGAGCTTAATATATTATTGAAACATAGATAAACATGCACGAGTATATGTGTGTGTGTAATTCCATATTTTTAATGACTTATTTGAGTTTGTGGGGAAAGGATGAATTTTAGTTCTTGGTCCTGCTTTTAACTCTTGTTGTGAAATATCCCAGTCATAACTATTTTTTTGTTTAATTTCATTTATTATTTCCAGTTATACCCCTCTTTTTCTTGTTAAATTCCTGGTAAGGAGCTTATCCCTGTCTATACCTCCCAGATATTTTGTAGGCCAAAGGGCACAGTCATATTCCATCTTGTTCTCCATTTTGCTAGTGAGATGAAGCCTAGCTTCATAATTTTGCTGTTGCTAAAGTTGAATTTCAGTGACCATTTATTCAACCATTCTTAAAGTTTGTCCAAATCTTTCTACAGCCTCTATTCTCTTAAGGTTGCATTCTCATTAGTTTTATATTGCCCACAAACAAGAATAGGTAGAACATCATTAATATAAGCCAGAAACAATATAAGGCCAACATTGATCTTTCTGGAGATCCACTAGTTCAATTTCCATTCTAAGCTTCGTCAATAATAGTGACTGTTATCTGTTCTACAAATATTCTTTTAACCATCTTATTAAGAATAAACCTTCTATTTAATGGACTAGGAGGTGGCTGATAATGGCAATTGTTGTTGATAGAAGTGAGACTGTTTAGGCCAAATGCTAATAATAATGGACCAATGGTGAGATTGTTTGGGCCAAATAATAATGGACCATGGCGAGAATGTTAGGGCCAGATAGCAACAATAATGGACCAAAGTGAGCTTGGTGGGGCCAGATGGTAACAATACTGCACCGTTCTGTAATCAGCCAACTTTGTTGATGTTTCTGAATCATTTAGTCCAGCATATTTTGTCCTGAATTTCCAAAGTCCAATGAATCAAGGGTTTACCTTTCTATTTACTCCAGCTTACTTCACCAGTTTGCTAAGCAGCATTTTATGAAACATGTTTAAAAGCTGTTTTAAACCTAGGAATATGCAATTTAATCCTCCTTTCCTGTCTGACCTCTGATAGTCTATTGTGTGTTTATATAAGGTTTGTAAAGCACTACAGTATCTTGTGTTTCTGAATCCATACTGGATTTACCGAGGGATTTAATACAGTGGTACCTCGAGTTTCGAATAGCTCCCAACTCAAACAGTTATGTAAGTGTATTTTTGGGGGTCTAAAATGGACTAATCTAATTTACATTATTCCTTATGGGAACAAATTCGTTCGGTATTGGCACTAACAGCCTTCTGGAACAAATTAAGTTTGTAACTCGAGGTACCACTGTACTTCAAAATGTTTAAGTGATTTTGTTTTGCTCATTATAGTGACTGGTCTGCAGTTCAGACCTGCCTCTTGCATACTGCTATTAAATTTATTATCTTCCAATCATCCTAGCAAACCACCAGTCATTAATGCTTTATCAAATGTCTGTGTAAGCTACTTGAACACTTTGTGTGCACTCGCCTAATTGTGATCATAGGGGTAGTCACTGAGTGAGTGAGAGAGAGAGAGAAAGAAAGAGAGAGAGAAGAAAGAGAGAGAAGAGAGAGAGAGAGAGAGAAGAGAGAGAGAGAGAGAGAGAGAGAGAGAGAGAGAGAGAGAGAGAGAGTGAGAGGAGAGTGAGAGAGAGAGTGAGAGTGAGAGTGAGTGGGGAGTGAGTGTGAGAGTGTAGAGTGAGTGGAGAGTGAGTGTGAGAGTGAGTGTGAGAGTGAGTGGAGAGTGAGTGTGAGAGTGAGTGTGAGAGTGAGAGTGAGTGGAGAGTGGAGTGAGAGAGTGAGTGTGAGAGTGAGTGTGAGGTGAGTGTGAGAGTGAGAGTGGAGTGAGTGGAGAGTGAAGTGTGAGAGTGAGTGTGAGTGTGAGAGTGAGAGTGAGAGTGAGTGTGAGAGTGAGATGTGAGAGTGTGAGTGTGAGTGTGAGTGAGTGTGAGTAGTGATGATGTGAGGTGAGAGTGTGAGTGTGAGAGTGAGAGTGAGTGTGAGATGTGAGTGAGTGTGAGAGTGGTGAGTGTGTGAGGTGAGTGGGAGTGTGTGGAGTGAGTGGTGGTGGGTGTGTGTGAGTGTGTGTGTGTGAGTGTGTGTGTGTGTGTGTGTGTGTGTGTGTGTGTGTGTGTGTGTGTGTGTGTGTGTGTGTGTGTGTGTGTGTGTGTGTGTGTACTCACTTCACCTATTTGTGGTTGCAGGGGTCAAGTCTCAGCTCCTGGCTACACCTATTCACTGATTGCTATAGGTCCTCTCCCTGCGCCATGAGCTTTATCAAACCTCGTCTTAAAACTGCATGGTTCCTGCCTCCACTATGTCACTTTCTAGGCTATTCCACTTCCTCACAACTATGACTGAAGAAATACTTCCTAACATACCTTTGACTTATAGGAGTTTTCAAATTCCAATTGTGACCCCTTGTTTCTGTGTCCCATCTCTGGAACATCCTGTCTTTGTCCACCTTGTCTATTCTACACAGTATTTTGTATGTCGTTATCATGTCTCCCCTAACCCTCCTGTCCTCCAGTGTCGTCAGGCCAATTTCCCTTAATCTGTCTTCGTAGGATATTCACCTTAGCTCTGGAACTAACCTTGTCGTAAACCTTTGCACTTTCTCTAATTTCTTGATGTGCTTGATCAAGTGTGGGTTCCAAAATGGTGCTGCATACTCCAGTATGGGCCTTACGAACACGGTGTACAGTGTCTTGCATGATTCCTTGTTAAGGTCTGGGAATACTATTTTCATGTTTGCCAGGGGGCCCATATGCTGCAGCAGTTATCTGGTTGATGTGTGCTTCCAGAAACATACTCAGTGTTATACTCACCCCAAGACCTTTCTTCTTGAGTGAGGTTTGCAGTCTCTGGCCACCTAGCCTACAGTTTGTCTGCGGGCTTCTTTGCCCTTCCCTAATCTTCATGACTTTGCATTTGGCGTGGTTAAATTCGAGGAGCCAATTGCTGGACCAGGTGTCCAGCCTGTCCATATCTCTTTGAAGTCCTGCCTGATCCAGATTTGATTTAATTCTCCACATTAATTTCACATCATCTGCGAACAGGGACACTTCTGAGTCTATCCCTTCCATCATGTTATTCACATATACCAAAAATAGCACTGGTCCTAGGACTGACCCCTGTGAGACCCCACTAGTCACAGGTGCCCATTGTTATACCTCATCGCATACCATGACTCATTGTTGCCTCCCTGTCAGGTACTCTCTGATCCATTGCAGTGCCCTTCCTGTTATACGCACCTGATCCTCTTAACTTCTGCATTAATCTCTTGTGAGGAACTGTGTCGAAGGCTTTCTCGCAGTCCAAGAAAATGCAGTCAACCCAGCCCTCTCTTTCATGTCTTACTTCTGTTACTTTATCATAAAACTCCAGAAGGTTTGTGACACAGGATTTGTCTTCTATGAATCCGTGCTGGTTGGCGTTTATACTCTTGTTCTGTTCCAGGTGCTCCACCACTCTCCTCCTGATAATCTTTTCCATGACTTTGCATACTATACACGTCAGTGACACTGGTTTGTAGTTTAGTGCCTCTTTTCTCTCTCCTTTTTTAAAAATGGGAACTACATTTGCCATCTTCTATACCTCAGGTAGTTGCCCAGTTTCAAGGGGTGCATTGAAGATTGTGGTTAGTGGCACACACAGCATTTCTGCTCCCCCTCTAAGGACCCACGGGGAGATGTTGTCTGATCTCATTGCCTTTGAAGTATCAAGGTCCCTTAGCAGTTTCTTCACCTCAGTTGTATGTATGTCATCCAATACTTGTTGGTATATTCCTTGTTGGTGTCCCCCTCTGTTCTGTCTTCCCAGAGGCCTTCCTGTCTCCACTGTAAATACTTCCTTAAATCTCGTGTTGAGCTCCTCACATCACATACCTCTTGATCATTTCTTGTGAGTTCCCCACCTTCTTTCCTGAGCCTGATCACCTGGTCTTTGACTATTGTCTTCCTCCTAATGTGGCTATACAGCAGTTTCGAGTCAGTTTTGACTTTCGATGCTATGTCGTTTTCATACTGTCGCTGGGCCTCCCTCCTTATCTGTGCATACTTGTTTCTGGTTCTTCGACTAATCTCCTTATTTTCCTGGGTCCTTTGCCTCCTGTACCTTTTCCATTCTCTGGTGCACTTAGTTTTTGCCTCCCGACACCTTTGGGTAAACCAAGGACTCGCTTTGGTCTTCCTATTATTTCTGTTACCCTTGGGAACAAACCTTTCCTTTGCCTCATTGCATTTTGTTGTTACATATTCCATCATTTCGTTTACTGACTTTCCTACCAGTTCTCTGTCCCACTGAACCTCCTGCAGGAAGTTCCTCATACCTGTGTAGTCCCTCATTTTATAGTTTGGCTTTTCTCATTCAACTCCTGTTACCCTCTCCACTTCTAACTCCACTATATAATCAAAACTCAGAACCACGTGATCACTAGCTCCAAGGGGCCTCTCATATGTGATGTCTCAATGTCTGAACTGCTCAGGGTGAACACAAGGTCCAGTCTTGCTGGTTCATCCTCCCCTCTCTCTCTGGTAGTGTCCCTGACATGTTGATGCACGAGGTTTTTCCAGTACCGCATCCATCATCTTGGTTCTCCATGTTTTGGGACCCCCATGTGGCTCCAGGTTTTCCAGGTCGATCTCCCTGTGGTTGAAATCACCCATAACCAGTAACTTTGCTCTGTTCGAGTGAGCTCCTCTTGCCACCTCAGCCAGTGTGTCCACCACTGCTCTGTTCTCTTTG